CTACTAAAATACAAAAATTAGGTGGACGTGGTGGCGGGTGCCTGTCTGTAATCCCAGCTACTCGGGAGGCTGAGGCAGAAGAATCACCTGAACCCGAGAGGCAGAGGTTGCAGTGAGCCGAGATCACGCCATTGCACTCCAGCCTGAGTAACTAGAGTGACACTCCAGAAAGAAAATAATTAAATGATAGTATTGAGTGACACAAGTTTGAGGTGCTCTACCTGCGTGCTCTCCTGGAACTGCTGGCAGTGTTTAAATGATTGCACTGTGCCAGTTCTACTTTAATGCTATTAATTTTTTTTTTTTTTTTTTTTTGCTCTTCTGTGCTTACCTATAGCAGCTGCTTTATGTAGTTATTTTCTGCTTAATCTATATGGATCTGTTAGAATTCACAATAAAAATTTACCTCAAAGGAGAGCTAAAAAGGTCTTCAGGCTAATTACTTTTTTTGGTTTTTTTTTTTGGAGATAGGGTCTCAATCTGTCTCCCACGGTGAAGTGCAGTGGCGCCATCTCGGCTCACTGCAAACTTGGCCTCCTGGATTCAAGTGATTCTCCTGCCTCAGCCTCCCAAGTAGCTGGGATTATAGGCACGCACCAACACACCCCACTAATTTTTGTGTTTTAGTAGACACAGGGTCTAATAATGTTGGCCAAGCTGGTCTCAAACTCTTTGACCTCAAGCGATCCACCTGCCTCAGCCTCCCAAAGTGCTGGGATTACAGGCGTGTGCCACCAGGCCAGGCCTAATGCCATCTCTTTTGTAGCCATCCTTCCAGATATTGTGATCCTATTATGAATTAGTAACAGATACAATCAGCCACACAATGAACATCTAACCCTGCAAACCCCTTTCTGAGTAGTGACTCCATAATGCCAAGCCTTTTTCCTTCAAACAAAAACTGTCCAAACTATGCAACTTCCTGCAAGTTTTGTCAGCTGGTTTACAGTATTTAGGCCTTTGTACATTTCCTAAAATATCTTCTGATAACTTTAAGGTAGTAACTTAATTCTGGTATAAACCAGTTTCAAAAAACTGGGATCTTCATGTATAAACCCTAACATCTGTTTCTGGCTGTTTGAGCCTTCTGTGCAATTTCTGGCTTTTTTTGGGGGGTGGGGACAGGGATGCGGGGAACAGAGTCTCCCTCTATCACCCAGGCTGGAGTGCAGTGGCTTGATCTGTGCTCACACCTCCAGGGTTCAAGCGATTCTCTTGCCTCAGCCTCCCGAGTAGCTGGGATTACAGGCACGCACCACCACGCCTGGCTTATTTTTTTATTTTTAGCAGAGACAGGGTTTCACCATGTTGGTCAGGCTGGTCTCGAACTCCTGACCTCGTGATCTGCCTGCCTCAGCCTCCCAAAGTGCTGGCATGAGCCACTGCACCCAGGTAATGTCTGGTTTTAACTATTCCAAATGTACAAATATTAAAATACAAAAAAGGTACAACTCATTTAAAGTTCAAAAATACAAAATACTCTAATTTGACTAGTACCTAACTTTGTGATTCTAGCCAATTTCCTTTGTACTGCAATATAATCACTTCCTGGGAGATGTATCAAAGTTAATACATACATCACATTAATTCAATTTAACAGCCATGTACTGCAAATGTGCTACAATTTATTTATCCATTCTTCTAATAAACATGGATTGCAGGTTTTTATAATTAAAAACAATACCGCAATGAACATTCTGTACATGTCTCCTTGAGTACACATGCCTAAACCTCCTCTAGAACACCCAGAGCTCACACCTGTAATCCCAGCACTTTCAGAGGCCAAGGCTGGCAGATCATGAGGTCAGGAGTTCAAGACCAGCCTGGCCAACATAGTGAAACCCCATCTCTATTAAAAACACAAAAATTAGCTGGGCGTGGTGAGACATGCCTGTAGTCCCAGTTACTCAGGAGGCTGAGGCAGAAGAATCGCTTGAACCCAGGAGGCAGAGGGTGCAATGAGCTGAGATCATGCCACTGCACTCTAGCCTGGGCAACAGAGCGAGACTACATTTCAAAAAAAAGAAAACACCCGGAGACTGGGTTAGTATATAAGCAACTTCAAATCAACTAAATGTTGCCAAACCACTCTCCAAAGTAAAGGTATAAATTTCACTGCCACCAGCAAAGTATATGAGAGCCCAATGCTATAAATTCAGCAACATGCAGACATGTCCAATTGTTTTATTTCATTGTTGTCTATCTGATGACAGTGAAATGGTATCACAGTGTTGTTTTAATGTACAATTCTTTTATTACTGATAAGAGTGAACATTTTTTCATCTGAATGACTACTCAGGGATTCTCATATGGATTTACCTGTTCATATCCTTTGATGATTTTCTTGATTTCTGTGGAGTCATTTAACAGTTAAATGGCATGCAAACATAAGTTTGAATTTTAGTGTATACAAATCTACCAACTTTTCCTCTACTCCAATATCATACTCTTGCTTTTCAATAGTTTTATGCACTCCAGCCTGGGTAACAAGAGCGAAACTCCATCTCCAAAAAAAAAAAAAAAACAGAAAAAGAAGAGTTATGAACGCCAGAGTGACCACAACATTCAAGAAAGCAAACATTCCAACAACTTCACTCTTTGATGGAAGTGGTAGTCTGGTTACATTCCTAGGTTATATTTACCATGCAAAGGATACAATATACATCAAAATATTAGAAATGTTGTATTTCATTTGCTTTTAAAATGATACTTAATCATTTGTATTGGCTATGCAAAACACAACAACCATCCACAAAGACAAAACTACTCAGAATTAACAAAATTATACTCCAGCTCTTTCAGAGGCCAAGGCAGGGGGATCACCTGAGATCAGGAGTTCGAGATCAGCCTGGCCAACATGATCAAACCCCATCTCTATGAAAAAATACAAAATGAACCAGGCGTGGTGGTGAGCATCTGTAGTCCGAACTACTCATGAGACTGAGGCAGGAGAATAGCCTGAACCTGGGAGGCAGAGGTTGCAGTGTGAGCCGAGATCATGCCACTACACACACTCCAGCCTGGGCAATGGAACCAGATTCCAAAAAGATATGAAATACTTTCAATGAGAATCTATATAGAAAAGCAGTCTGAAGATATCGTAATGAAGGAGAAAAGGCACTGAGTTTCAAGTAGTGGGTTGTGCTATATTTTAACACACAGAAGTAACTTCCTCACTGTTTATTTTCATATCTTTTTTTTATAGCCAAAAGTTGAGATTTGCAGCAGAAAAGTCTGACAACCTGATGACCTAACATTTCTTGTCATTTGTGAAATGGTTTAATTCAGTTGTTTACTGTTTTTAGAGAAACTATTGAACATTCATGAAATGTATATTATTGATGAAGCAATTTCAAGAATCTTAAAGAATAGGTTTCATATTCTGGCCAATACAAGTTATTACAGTTGCATACCATTTGTGAGATTCTGGTAAAACCACAAGTATCAAATCTCAATACAAAAACAGTTAAGTATATCCAACTTTCAATATTTGGATTTTTATTTTGTACCCGTTGCATGTGAAATATACCATCATGATGCCGGGCGCGGTGGCTCAAGCCTGTAATCCCAGCACTTTGGGAGGCCAAGGCGGGTGGATCATGAGGTCAAGAGATCGAGACCATCCCGGTCAACATGGTGAAAACCCGTCTCTACTAAAAATACAAAAAACTAGCTGGGCGTGGTGGCGCATGCCTGTAATCCCAGCTACTCAGGAGGCTGAGACAGGAGAATTGCCTGAACCCAGGAGGCGGAGGTTGCGGTGAGCCGAGATCGCGCCATTGCACTCTAGCCTGGGTAACAAGAGCGAAACTCTGTCTCAAAAAAAAAAAAAAAAAAAGAAATATACCATCATGGACATAAACACTGCATATAGGACAGTATACTTGAGCCAAAACAATTGAGAATATTTCAGTACAAAGCAGAAATGAGTTTTTAACCATACCTGAATGGTATGTGCAATTTAAGTCAATGATAAATATCAAATAAGATTGTAAAAAAACATGTTAACAATAAAAGATTTCCTACTAAATACCAGTAAGCTTTTATATATCTATTCCTCACACAAATAGGTTTGTTTTGGCAGTCATTCTTATAATAGGCATTGATTCTAGGTTTATAATTAAAAACAATACCACAGTGAACTTTCTGTACATGTCTCCTTCAGTACACATCCCAAGAATTCCTTTAGAAGATAACACCCAGATACTAAGTTAGTATATGAGCAAATATTTTTTTGGTATCTCTTCTGGGACAGGCCTTAGGGAAAAGGAAGTTATCCTGATTTCATGGAGCTTACAATCTACCAAAGGATCTAAGAATCACAGAAGAAAACAAAAATATCATTTTATTCTTTCCTTTGCCACCTCTTACATTTTTGCAAATTGATTCTATAAAGCCATTTCTGGTGAGAAAAGTCCATCTTTAACTTGAAGATTTATCTACCTTCATACTGCAAAGAAAAGTATGTGTATATATACATATATATATTTAAATTTTTTATTTTATTTATTTTTTTTTTTGAGATGGGGTATCTCACTTTGTCACCCAGGCTGGAGTGCAGTGCCTCACTGCAACCTCCCCTTCCCAGGTTCAAAAGGCTCTCGTCTCAGCTTCCTGAGTAACTGGGACTACAGGTACGCACCACCATGCCCAGCTACTTTTTATATTTTTAATAGAGACAGTGTTTCACCATGTTGGCCAAGCTGGTGGCAAACTCATGTCTTCAGATGATTCACCCACCTTGGCCTCCTGAAGTGCTGAGATTACAGGTGTAAGCCACTGCACCCAGCCAAATAGTGTATTTTTAAAACTGCCCAGACGTGTGTGAACAACCGCTCTAGAAAACTGAGTAAACCATTTAAAATTTAACCATGAATGACTTTAGAGTATAATGTTTCAGTAACTCCCAGAATCAACTGACCACAGCTTTCTTTCGTAGTGCTGGATGAGAGCTATCTAATTACTATACACTGGTGTTCTGAAACTAGGCTGCTGCTTTTATTTTTTTAATCACAGGTACATTTTCTTAATCTAGAATCACCACCTGTTTAGTAATTGTTTGACTCCGCAAAATTCAGAAGGCACTAACGGACAGCCAGCCCATCCACATGGTGCCCTGAGTGAAGATAAGACATTTTTTATATATGATGGATCAAAATCCCACTGCCTAAGGCTCCAAGCAGTGAGGGGAACAGCCATCAAAGTTTACCTCCAACCACATTAACTTAAGACAAGACACGTTTATAAAAAATAAAGACATCCCAACCTGGGCAACATGGCAAAACCCCATCTCCATAAAAAATACAAAAAATTAGCCAGGCATAGTAGCCCGTGGTCCCATCTACTGAGGAGGCTCAGGTGAGAGAATTATCTGAGCCTGGGAAGCTGGGGCTGCAGTGAGCCCTGATTATGCCACTGCACTCCAGCCTGGGCAATGGAGTGAGTCCCTGTCTTAAAACAAAAACAGTCCAGGCACAGTGGCTCACGCCTCTAATCCCAGCACTTTGGGAGGCTGAGGCGGGCAGATAAGGTGAGGTCACCAGTTCAAGACCACATGGCAAAACTCAGTCTCTATATAAAAAAAAAAAAATTTTTTTTAAGTAATAATGAAGACATCAAAGTACTCTTATAAGATAGAAATCACTACATCTAAGTAAGAACTAGAAAGAATCATTAAGGATCAACTGATCCAGCAAGGGAAAATCACAAACTAGATAACAAGTTAGTACCAAAACCAAGATTAATCAACTAAAGAAAATGTTATTCTAACAATTATATAAAGATACACACTATAGTGCCTATGACTAATTCTAAAACTTAATTAAGTTTTGAGGGCCAGGGGTGAAGGTAATGAGAGGTAGTCTAATTAGCAGAAAGATATATAAGCAATAAAAACAAAGAATTTTCTTTTTTTTTTTTTTTTGAGACAAAGTCTAGCTCTGTCACCCAGGCTGGAGTACAGGGGTGCAATCTCAGCTCACTGCAACCTCTGCTTCCCGGCTTCCAGCAATTCTCCTGCCTCAGCCTCCCAAGCAGCTGGGATTACAGGTGCACGCCACCACATCCAGCCAATTTTTGTATTTTTGGTAGAGACGGGGTTTCACCATGTTAGCCAGGCTAATTCCTGACTTCAGGTGATCTGCCCACCTCAGCCTCCCAAAATCCCACCACATCAGGCCAAAACAAGTAATTTTTGTCAATCTATTATGCAGATGTCAGAAATTGACAGGTAGTACAGTATCTAAAATATACACATGGATTCTGATGACAAAATAGTTGACACCAATTGAGCATTTACCATATATGCTTTGCCCACACCTTAACTAATTTAACCTTCAAAATAACCATCCTGAGTCAAATGCTATTGCCATCTTCTAAAATATAAAACTAAGACACAGATATTAAGAAACTTGCCAATGTTGCGTAACTGGTACAGTGACAGAGCATGGGTTTGAACCCATATATAACCACTATACAATGCTACTTCTCAACATCTTTAATTTACTTTTTTTCTTTTTTCTGGAGACAGAATCTTGCTCTGTCACCCAGGCTGGAGTGCAGTGTGTGATCTCTGCTTACTGCAACTTCCGCCTCCTGGGTTCAGGAGATTCTCCTGCCTCAGCCTCCCAAGTAGCTGGGACTAAAAGTTGCATGCCACACCATGCCCAGCTTTTTGCATTTTTTTTTTGGGAGAGATGGGGTTTTACCATGTTGGCCAGTCTGAGCCCAGATAACTGTCTGCCTCAGCCTCCCAAAGTGCTAGGATTACAGGCATGAGCCACCATGCCTGGGATCAACTGACTTTTTAAAAATGAAATTTATAGTACCTTAGCAGCTAGCTGTGAAATCATAAACCTGAATTTTCAAACTTATATATGTCAAAGCTTCTCAATCACAACCTAAGCCTTACCATAAAATGCAGTAATCATCTACTGTATATCCAGGATTTACAGCACCAAAGAGGTCCAGAATGGAACAGGGAGACTCAGCTCTGGTTTTGGTCTCTCAAAATTTTACTTCTGTAAAAGACAAAAAAAGCTAAAAAATTATTTCAAGTTCTTCTGATGTAGCTTTGAGTTGTTTGTATTTCCTGTATTTCACCTTTATATCTAACTAATTCTCTGCTGAAAATGCAGGCACAGGTAAAGAATATAAGCCTGTCCTAAGTTACTTAAAATTACTTTTAATATATTACAATACATGAATATAATAAAATTAGAAAATAAAAGTTTATAATACAAGATTACTTGTAGAATGCAATTCTAGAGAAAATAACCCCTAGTATTTTAGCATACATATCCTTTTATATTTCTTAAGCAAATATATGCATATAAAAATATTTAAGCAGAAACATATTGCTCTATAATGTCTTTCATGTGTCATGAATACCATTCCATTTCAATAAACATAAACCTGTATCATAACTTTTAAGTAACTGTATAGTATTGCATTGTAGTCTTCACAAAATTGATTGAACTAACTCTGTTTCCCTTAATCTATGTATATAGATTGACAGAATAGTGATTAGTTGAAAACTGCCAGGCTAAATTGCTTATAGAATTATACCATTTGGCCGGGCGCGGTGGCTCAAGCCTGTAATCCCAGCACTTTGGGAGGCCGAGGCGGGTGGATCACGAGGTCGAGAGATCGAGACCATCCTGGTCAACATGGTGAAACCCCGTCTCTCCTAAAAATACAAAAAATTAGCTGGGCGTGGTGGCACGTGCCTGTAATCCCAGCTACTCGGGAGGCTGAGGCAGGAGAATTGCCTGAGCCCAGGAGGCGGAGGTTGCGGTGAGCCGAGATCGCGCCATTGCACTCCAGCCTGGGTAACAAGAGCGAAACTCCGTCTCAAAAAAAAAAAAAAAAAAAAAAAAAAAAAGAATTATACCATTTACCAGTGCTTTTTCTGTAGTGTTTGAACTTTTAGATTAAGGATTCCTGACTCTAGTTCTAACTCACAAAAGTGATATTTTGGGGATATAGAGATATCACAAAAGATCAAAGCACAATAAAATATTAGTCTTAAATTGGTAATTTATTAAGATTTAAGAACTACCTGGGATTGGCTGAGCATGGTGGCTCACGGCTGTAATCCCAGCACTTTGGGAGGCCAAGGCAGGCGGATCACCAGGTCAGGATTTGAACCCAGCCTGGCCACTATGAGGAAGCCCCATGTCTACTAAAAATAAAAAAATTAGTCAGGCATGGTGGCAAACGCCTGTAGTCCCAGCTATTCAGGAAGTTGAGGCAGAAGAATCGCTTGAACCCAGCAAGTGAAGGTTGCAGTGAGCCGAGATCACACCACTGCACTCCAGCCTGGGCAACAGAGCGAGATTCCACCTCAAAAAACAAAAAACAAAACAAACAAAAAAAAATTACGTGGGATTACAGGCTAAATCCCAGTAAAAATTTCAACAAGCAGAATTCAATTGCAGGTGTTTGCCCCTAGCTTCAGTCTGCTCAGAGCATGTGTTTAATCAGACTGATCAGCTGAAACACGGACTTAACATGCATTTCATCATGGCAAACTGTAAATGACTGGTGAAGGGCAAACCAGCACTGGCTCCTCATCCCTAAACAGGAAAATCCTCTTAAGGTTAGAACTGGGGATTTTTTCAACTATCAAATTCCATCCACTAATAACACTGAGTCCCAAGTCTTGCTAGATGATTAGAAATTCAAACGAGGTAAAAAATGAAGACTTTGCTCTTACACTTACATCTGGCATCACATGAATCCAGCTTCTATCTAGAAACCAAGTTGAACCACGGGATCTATCAATTACCTGAGATCGTCTCTGGAAAATTAAAAAAATAAATAAATTCACAAACATTATGATTATATGACAACTCACACCAGCATATTCTACATATCAAGTCATGAGAAATTTAGAGTAACTTTATTTGACTCTCCATTCAGTAATATAAATTATTGACTCATATATTTAGAGAATGTCATCAAATGCCCAAGCTCAATATCAAATAGGGCAGGATCAGGAGTTCAAGGTTACAGTGAGCTGTGATCATGACACCGTACTCCAGCCTAGGTAACAGAGTAATACCCTGTCTCAAAACAAAAATTAACAAACAAAAAAAAAAAGAGTAGGACCTCTACACAAGCTTAATTTTGTATAAATTTACAAGTTTGGATAAAACTGCACAATAGTCTAACCAACTTCTGAAAGGCTACAAAAATCAACAGCCTCACAGTAAGAAAACAGTTATGCGGCCAGGCACGGTGGCTCACGCCTGTAATCCTAGCACTTTGGGAGGCTGAGGTGGGTGGATCACCTGAGGTCAGGAGTTCAAGACCAGCCTGGCCATCATGGTGAAACCCAATCTTTAAAAAATAAATAAAAAGAAAAGGCCGGGCGCTGTGGCTCAAGCCTGTAATCACAGCACTTTGGGAGGCCGAGGCGGGTGGATCACGAGGTCAAGAGATCAAGACCATCCTGGTCAACAAGGTGAAACCCCGTCTCTACTAAAAATACAAAAAATTATCTGGGCATGGTGGCGCGTGCCTGTAATCCCAGCTACTCGGGAGGCTGAGGCAGGAGAATCGCCTGAACCCAGGAGGCGGAGGTTGCGGTGAGCCGAGATCGCGCCATTGCACTCCAGCCTGGGTAACAAGAGCAAAACTCCGTCTCAAAAAAAAAAACCAAAAAAATAAATAAATAAATAAATAAAAAGAAAACAGTTATGCAAAAGGAGGGAATTAAGAACTTGAAGATTCAGATAAATGAGGAAATATCCAAAATAGTCAGTTTTTTCAAAGCATGTTTCAATTTCACTTCAGCCAATGCTGGACTGTATTTAAACTTTACTCTTTGTAATCCTTTGCCAAAATAATCTGAAGAAAATCTTCCCTTTATACAGGAAAATTGAATTTGTTATCATTTGGAAACCAAGTCTGCCACAAGATGGCAATGTAAGAAAGAGGCTTTAACTTCCTTTTCCAGCGTTTGAGTGTAATCTGAACTTTCAGGTCAAATACATACTAGTTACAGTTTACCTTTGCAGCCAAACTTCATACTATTCCCTACTCTTCACCTAATTACTAGCTAGAAAATTTTTTTGTATGACTTGTAATGATCATCTAAAACTTGTTAACTAAAAATACTACAATTGTACTTTTATCATTATGTTATTTTTCATGCAGCGACATGGAGATTTAAAAATCCATAACCTCAGCTGGGCATGGTGGCTCACGCCTATGATCCAAGCACTTTGGAGGCCAAGGCAGGCGGATCACCTGAGGTCGGGAGTTCAAGACCAGCCTGACCAACATGGTGAAACCCTGCCTTAAAAAAAAAAAAATCCATAACCTCAGATCCAATATAGTCAGAAAGACAAGACTCAGAAATTAACATACCATCAAAATAGTAGTAGAAAGCAAGTAAGATTTTAAAAAGTAGCATTGGTCAAGGAAGGCTTCATGAAGCAAAAAATGTGGGTCATGAGTGGACCTTAGAGTTGCATGTCCAATAAGTACCACTTAGAGTTAAAAATTAAATTTCTCAGCCGGGCGCGGTGGCTCAAGCCTGTAATCCCAGCACTTTGGGAGGCCGAGGCGGGTGGATCACAAGGTCAGGAGATCGAGACCATCCTGGTCAACATGGTGAAACCCCGCCTCTACTAAAAATACAAAAAATTAGCTGGGCATGGTGGCGCGTGCCTGTAATCCCAGCTACTCAGGAGGCTGAGGCAGGAGAATTGCCTGAACCCAGGAGGCGGAGGTTGCGGTGAGCCGAGATCGTGCCATTGCACTCCAGCCTGGGTAACAAGAGCGAAACTCCGTCTCAAAAATAAATAAATAAATAAAAAATAAAAATAAATTTTTTAAAAAAAGAAAATTAACAAAAAAAAAACTCCAGTATAAGGTGACTTTTTGGGTATATTAAAACAAACAAACAAACAAACAAAAAAACCTCCCACAGGATAGTTATAGGTTAAAGGAACAACTTCTCTATTAATCTCAACTCACAAACAAAACCCAGAATGCAAGAGGCCTGGTCTTTTTGTCTTTGACACACAGCAAAAAGCCTAGCACATAAATCCTGATATTAAATATGTGATAACTTTCCCAATGTGTAATGCTCCCTGCAGGATTCTAGTCATGCATGCTTCGACAAGTTCATTCCACCATACAAAGGACATTTCATATTAACTAAGCATTTTGTAAATGCTCCATAAACAATCAATGATCCCAGCATTTTGTTGACTACGGGCAGTAATCACTTCAAAGTACTGGTGTTCATAGCCAAAAAGTACATTTTATATGTGTGAACAGATGCTTCATGAAGGCCTAATACAAACTACAAATTGATACTAAATCAGCAGATACTGTGTTAAGATTTCATTACTATTCCATTTGACTTTATTCCAATTTACACAGTGCCACCTAGCATGACAGGATACAGTGGTTAACTCAAAGAATCTCTAGGCTAAGCTTTTTAGACAGAAAAGACACACATACGTGTAGTGAAGAGAACTTAAGACAGTTTATCTTGATCAAAATTCAAGTACCAGGCATTAGGTCCCATCAGCCTTTAACCCTTTCTATTGAGAATGTCTAAATCCAAGCCCAGTTGATTTTCAGGGGGTCTGCAGATAAACCAGTTCTGGACTGGCACATAGGGTGCTGAAGACCCAGGCCTTTCATCCTCAGTGGATTTCATCTTCAACCTGAAACAAAATGAAAACAATACAAAATTTTGTTCATAGGAAAGTAAATAGTAAACTGATAGCTTGGCATAATTTTCTTTAGAGATAGTTATATAAGGCACTGCTATCAGAACAGACTCCAAGTTTTATTTCCCCCTATCAGAATTTCCTGCCTTTTTAAGGCAGAATAGTATTCCGCTATACAAAGGTATCATATTTTCTTTATTCATTCATCTGTTGATGGACCTTTAGGTTAATTCCTTATCTTGGCTTTCACGAATAATGCTGCAATGAACATGCGAGTGTAGGTATCTCTGACACGCTAATTTAATTTCCTTTGAATATACCCAGAAATTGGGATTTCTGGATTATATGGTAGTTTTATTTTTAATTTTTTGAGAAATTTCCATATTGTTTTCCGTAACAGCTGCACTAGTTAATATTCCCTAAAATAACAAATTTTGAAATAATACAAAACTAGATTTTAATCCTGGCTCTCTTGTGTATTTGCTGTGCCCATGGGTAAGTCACGCAACTTCTCTAAACCTCAGTTGTCACCTCTGTAAAATGAGAATGCTACTTACCTCTTAAAACCTCTGTGAAGATTAAATGAGGTAAGAAATATACTTCACACTGTGGCTGGCATGGATCTAAATGTTTAATATGTTATTTCTATTACTTGCCCAAGCTCAACCAGCTAATGAGTAGAAAGGCAAGTATTCTGCCTAAAAATTTCACACTTTTCCACAGCCATTAAAAAAAAAAAATCGTGTCTTTTGCAGCAACTGGAGCTGCTGGAGGCCATTATCCTAAGCGAATTTACGTAGAAACAGAAAACCAAGTATCGCATATTCTCACTTATAAGTGGAAGCTGAATATTGGGTTCACGGGGACATAAACTTGGGAACAATGAACACTAGGTACTCCAAAAGGAGGGAAGGAGGGAGAGGAGCAAGAGCTGAAAAACTTCTATTGGGTACAATGTTTACTACCTAGATGGCAGGATCAGTTGAAGCCCAAACCTCAGCATCATGCAATACACCCTGTAACAAACCTGCACATGTACCCCATGAATCTACAATAAATACAAATTTAACAAAAACAAAAATTCATTCATTCTTCTAACAATAGCCCAGAAGCCAGAAAGACCACTCATAGAGGACTCATAAGGGCCCTTCCAACTCCAAGATGTTGTGTCCTTTTTCTTTTTTTGAGACAGAGTTTTGCTCCCGTTGCCCAGGCTGGAGTGCAATGGCACGATCTCGGCTCACCGCAACCCCCTCCTCCCCGGTTCAAGCTATTCTCCTGCCTCAGCCTCCCCAGGAGCTCAGATTACAGGTGTTCAACACCACGCCCAGCTAATTTTTTGTCCCTTTAGTGGAGACAGGGTTTCACCATGTTAGCCAGGTTGGTCTCAAACTCCTGACCTCATGATTCGCCCGCCTTGGACTCTCAAAGTGCTAGGATTAACAGGCCTGCCTTGCCATAAAGTTATTTCTTAACAAAAGGAGGCATCCATTGGAAAGAACCTAACTTTTTCCCAACTCACAAAGCTACCACCTAAAAAACCAGAACTAAGCCTCTTAAGACTGAAACAGCTTTGGAGAAATTCCCAAAGTCTCCTTTTCTCTTTTGCATGTCTATATCCTAAAACATATTTCAGCTTTTCCTAACTTAATGCTAAAATGAGTCCACTCCCTCAACACCATAAGTTTAGAGGCATATCCAGCACACATTTTCTAAGAAAACATTGAAAGCATGCCCCTTCTGCCCCTTTGAATACAGATGACTTGGCTGTTCTCGGCCACTGCTGTCCCTCCTTGCCAACACTAAACATGTGCTCAAAAGAACGAAAAAATAAAATTTAAAAAGATTTTAAAAACATGTGCTCATGGCCGGGCACGGTGGCTGGCTGACGCCTGTAATCCCAGCACTTTGGGAGGCCGAGGCGGGTGGATCACGAGGTCAAGAGATCGAGACCATCCTGGTCAACAAGGTGAAACCCGTCTCTACTAAAAATACAAAAATTAGCTGGGCATGGTGGCGCGTGCCTGTAATCCCAGCTACTCGGGAGGCTAAGGCAGGAGAATTGCCTGAACCCAGGAGGCGGAGGTTGCGGTGAGCCGAGATCGCGCCATTGCACTCCAGCCTGAGTAACAAGAGCGAAACTCCGTCTCAAAAAAAAAAAAAAAAAAAATGTGCTCATAACAAGATAAACCATCCCCTAGTCAAACCAAAGTGGATAAATATGTACCCACCTAAAAGCCATCAAGATGATTCTGCTTTTGGTAGAAAATCCTTTACTGCTCAATCAAGACATTTAAAGTATTGATTGGTTTCTAATCACCACTATGTGTACAAAATAAATATAAATAGGAAGCTCTGCAAAATATCTAGATTACTTTTAAACAAGAATATGCTAAAACCGAGTTGAAATTCCTATATGCCAACGGACTTATTTACAAAGTTATTCATTTAGGGAGAAATATCAAGGTCATAAACTATCTAAATATCTACTGATAAAAGCTAAATAAATTATGGCATGTACATAAAGTAGAATACTATGTTACCATTATACCCCAAAAACCTATTGAAATAAAACATATTTAAAAAAAATTTTTTTAAAGAATACTGTTACCATTATAAAGAATGTGGACACTATTCATGGAATTATTAAGTGGGAAAAGTAGACATATAGTAGAGTAGATATAGAAAAAGGGAAGGATACTCACACATATTTGCTTACATGCATAAAATATTTTAGTAACACTGTTATTCGAGAGAGGAATTGGATGGCTTAGGGAAGGGGATAAGAAACTGATTTCCTTGGAATTCTGAACCATGTGAATATATTACCTATTCAAAGAATCAATTATAACTGCTTGAGAATTATAAAAATTATGAGAGGCCTACAAATGCCTATTACTATATTCAATTAACTAGTTTATTTGTCTTTCTCGTGCTTTCTACCTATAAGGATACCCAACACATAGATCATATAAAAACTAACATGTATCAGAAGAAAGGAATGCAGTGAAATTACATTCGAGGTCACTAGACGAAACTTATGAGAAAACAGATATCCAAAATATTATGGTAAGTAAGTACTGCTTACTTCTAAAGGTACCTAACATTTATTACATACCAACTAGGGCCTAGTTTTTAATCAATTTTATCTGATCTTGGAAAGCTAAGGCTGGGAATGGCTCACTGCTACTCCCAAGGTCACCAGAGCTGTAAACTGTGGCGCTGGAATTTGAATCTAGAGGCTTGCCCTAAACTAAGGTCCCCGGATCTTTTTCCATAGCTTTTTAGGATACATTCACCACTGTGGCAACATTAAAAATTAGGAGCTCCTCTTAGGGCTTATCTATCTTCCGTTTGCTGCCCAGGTTGACCAAGAAAGCCGAAATGATCTGAGCTAAAGCCAGGAAAAACAAGATCCGCTGCAGCTTTCACAAACCCAGAAAGGACCTGGGCCCTCTTAGACACTCTCCGGGGAATTAAAATCTTCTGAGCTGAACGCCTTCTCCCTAGATCTGACCTCACCCAGGGTGATAGAAATCAAAACAGCATTGGGATGACAACAATCTCTCTCCCTCCCAGAGAAATAAAGCCAGGCGTTTTCCAAGAACACACGCACTGTGCACATGAAGCAGAGTCTATTGTTCCTGGGTCACCCGGACTCAGATAAAGAAGGCAAACCCCAGTACTGCAAAGGCCCACGTGGAAACAAGCCAGGCAGAGCATTTCACTGTCTCCTTCCAACCTCCACAGAGCCTAAATTAATCGCCTTGCAACACACACACTCCAATGCCGGCTTGAAATAAAGGCCTGCCACTCGGGTATATGGCATAAACGGAAGAGAAATTCAAAACAATTAAAGAGAGCAAAATTAAGTGCACACTCACCAGCCCACCAAAACGGAGAGGGAAAGAAAGTGGAGACACAGGAAGTGGCCTTAAGAAGTGTCTTCAGAACCTGATTGGCTAATGAGTTCAAGAGGATTCCCTCCTCCTTTACCTTAAAAGGTGCTGAAATGATGTAACCCACTCCACCCTTCTCTCTTTATGGACCAGTGATGCTTTTTGCACAATTTTAAACTTCTTAAACCAAGTTTCCTTTCCAGTTAATGTCCTTAGGCAAACACAGGCTAATTTAAGCTATTTATACACATTCCTGTTTGTGTGCGCCTACTGCATTCTATTTCAAAGAATTTTCATCCCTTAAGGGTAATTTCTTATCCTTTGTGACCTCGGCATGGTCACAATTGATGCCAGGCAATAGATTCCATTATAAACAGTCTAGATCCATTCAAGTTAAAATTTACCTTCATTTTTTTCCCCCGAAAATCCAAAGCTGGCTGAATAAAATTTACCTTCAGGTAATCTTTGAACTAACAAGCTTAGAAGATAAAAGATAGGTGGCTAAGTATTTTAGGCTTTAAATAAAATCTAGCTGATTTTGAATCCGAAACTTGCCACTTATTTGCACACATGTAAGCCTCAGTTTCCTCAACTATAAAAAGAGGGAAAAATTATGAAATCTTCCTACTCTGATTGTTGTGAGTTTTAGGAAAAAATAAATTATATAATGTATGCCTGGTGCATAGTACTCAACAATGTTAGCCATTATTGTTATTACATATTTCTTGTTAGGTTTATCTTCCTAAGTAGACTATAAATAATTAGAGAGCATAGTACATTTTACACACCTCCAGACCAAAACAATGACCTTCAGTGCTGAGGACATAAGGGATTAAGCAATTGTTTTGACTCCTAACATCCTCCTCCAGTTAAAGTGTATGTTCTTAGTCTGTTAAAAAAAAAATTTTTTTTTAACCAGGGTCTCACTTTGTGTTCCATGCTGGAGTGCAGTGGTCCAATCTCGACTCACTGCAGCCTTGACCTCCCGGGTTCAAGCAATCCTCCTGCCTCAGCACCCCACCAAGTAGCTGGGACTACAGTTGTACACCACTACACCCAGCTAATTTGTGTATATTTTGTAGAGAAAGGGTTTCGCCATGGTGCCCAAGCTGATAAGATTTCTTTTTAAGCCATAATTAGAGGACTCACTAGCACAACATTCATCATCATTAGTATTAATAGTATTAATAAGTACCATTATAGTATATAATAGGGAATACATATACAAATATATGTTATAGGTACAAATATACATGTAATGTGCAAATATTTGAAGTATAAAGATTCAAGGTATACGAAGAAATGATAGAATTCTAACTCACAGTAGTTCCCATTTTTTAATAATTTCATCCTATTCACCCTGCTTCCACCTTACTAGAAATTATTACCTACTCCAATCCACTTTAGGGTTTAACTGCCCCAAATTTCCCAGTATTTAGCATCAAATGCTACTTTGTTGTTTCATAAGTGATTTATTGTAACTTCCGAAGTCAAAACATTTCTTTTTTTTTTTTTTCTTTTTTGAGACGGAGTTTCGCTCTTGTTACCCAGGCTGGAGTGCAATGGCGCGATCTCGGCTCACCGCAACCTCCGCCTCCTGGGTTCAGGTGATTCTCCCGCCTCAGCCGCCTGAGTAGCTGGGATTACAGGCGTGAACCACCGCGCGCCCGGCTCAAAACATTTCTTGAATGTTTACTATAAACAAGGAATGCTGTTAAGCACTTTATATTCATTACTTCGTTTAATCGTCACATTACGCCAAGAATGTAGGCACTTTCATTATAACTATTTCACCAAAGAAAAAGGAAACAGTTATAGGGATTACGGAATTTGTCTATTTAGCAAGCAATAAAGTCAGGATTCAGACCCTGGTTGCTATGGTTTGAATGTCCCCTTCAAAATTCATATTGAAACTTAATCCCTAAAGTAGCCGAAACTTAATCCTCATTAGAAGTGGGCCCTTCAGGCTGGGCGCGGTGGCTCAAGCCTGTAATCCCAGCACTTTGGGAGGCTGAGGTGGGTGGATAACAAGGTCAAGAGATCGAGACCATCCTGGTCAACATGGTGAAACCCTGTCTCTACTAAAAATATAAAAAACATTAGCTGGGCATGGTGGCGCGTGCCTGTAATCCCAGCTACTCAGGGGGCTGAGGCAGGAGAATTAATTGCCTGAACCCAGGAGGCGGAGGTTACGGTGACAAGAAAAAAAAAAAAAAAAAAAAAAGAAGTGGGCCCTTCAAGAAGTGACTGGATCCTGAGGGCTCTGCCCTCACGAATAAATTAATCTATTCATGGCTTAATAGGTTATCATGGGAGGAGAGCTAGTGTCTTTAAAGAAAAGGAAAAGATAGCATGTTAGCAGTCTCAGCCTCCTGGCCATGCGATGTCCTGCAATGCCTTGGAACACCACAGGGTGTCCCTTCCAGCAAGAAGGAGTTCAGATGCAACCCAGAGACAGCCCCTTAATCTTGAACTTCACAGCATCCATAACTGGAAAAAATAAATTTATTTTAATTTTATTTATTTATTTATTTATTTATTTTTTGAGACGGAGTTTCGCTCTTGTTACCCAGGCTGGAGTGCAATGGCGCAATCTCAGCTCACCACAACCTGCGACTCCTGGGTTCAGGCAATTCTCCTGCCTCAGCCTCCTGAGTAGCTGGGATTACAGGCACGCGCCACCATGCCCAGCTAATTTTTCGTATTTTTAGTAGAGACGGGGTTTCACCATGTTGACCAGGATGGTCTCGATCTCTTGACCTCGTGATCCACCCGCCTCGGCCTCCCAAAGTGCTGGGATTACAGGCTTGAGCCACCGCGCCCGGCCCGATGTATAGCTAATACAGGCTTATTCAATCAGAGGGTCTGGGGTGGGGAATCTGCCTAAGTTTACAGTCCCCATACTCGGTGATTCTCATGCGGGCAAATATTTGGGCGCCCCAGACCTAGCGTCACCAAGAACCAAGAAGACCATTAGCAATTTCGAGGACTTCCTGGCCCCGGGTTCCCTCTGTTCGCAGAGGGGTTTTTGCAGTTTCATGGAACTTTTCCACATTCCACTCCCCGCCCTGCATTCCGCCCGGCGTTGATACGCTCCGAACCTCTCGCCTTACCGCCGCCACTCGGTTTTTCTTCAAAAGAGGGCGGGGGAGAGTAGTCTGAATTGGGTTATGAGGGCCCCGTTCGGGGTACCTCACCTCAGCCATTGAACTCGCTTCGCTGGCCGTGAGTCTGTTCCAAGCTCCGGCAAAGGAGGCATCCGCCGGGTCCCTCCCCGAAAGGCGGGGTCCACGGCATCTCCTGCCCAGTCTGACCCTCGCGCGGAGACCCGTTCTCTGGGAACTCACCTCCCCGAAGCTCAGGGAGAGCCCTGTTAGGGCCGCCTGTGGCCCTAGTCTCAGACCTTCCCAAGGGACATAGGAATTGAGTGACAGGACGCACTCAGCTCGTGGCCCCACTGATGAGCTTCCCTCCGCCCTATGGGGAAGGGTGGTCCTTCGCAGAACTTATAAGATTCCCAGTCCCGAGGACATTTCTAGATTATGGTGACTTCCCAGAATACACAGCGACATGCAAATATTGCAGGTCGTGCCTCGCCTGTCCCTCACTGTCGTCTTCCTGCCAGGGCGCACGCGCGCTGGGTGTCCCGCCAACTGACACTGGGCTCGCGATTCCTTGGAGCGGGTTGATGACGTCAGCGTTCGAATTCCATGGCTGCGCGGCGGCAACGGAGCACCGGCGGCAGCAGGGCGACAGGTTTGGAGCTGATTAACGCCGGGCGGAATGCGGGGCGGGGAGTCAGAAAAGGAACGATGCCACCTACGGTGACACCCTTCCCCTTACAGCTCCCCATAACGTGGCTACCAAACCAGTTTGGGTGCTAAATTTTGTGAATTTCGGTTTTCGTACGTCTGAGGATTACGTAATTGTACATAAAGCTTTGCGGACCTGGAACAACTAATGTGCCAGTAGTGTTGTTAATACCTAATGTCATCCAATTTACAAAAAGTAATTGTAAGGTACACCATTATTTGATACTCCACAGAAAGGATAAGCACTGAAAATAGTGTATGTCGTCCATTGTTAAGATGCATCCGAGTTCGAGAGAGTAAAATGCAAGTCTTAGACCTTTGAGATAGAGTATTATGTGTATGATGTTCTTAATTGCATAGGTCCACCCTATAAATTAGGTACTACTGTACTTCTCTAGAAATATAATATTGTTGTACAGTATTCTAATATTGAAGCAAGTGAAGTAGGAAGAGATCAAATACTTCTCCAAGTCTCTACAGATAGAAGCAGCAGAGCTAGGCTCTAAGTTAGGCACAAACCCTTGAGCACTTTACTAACCTTTATCCCATACCGCCTCGTGTATGACGTGGATATTTGGGGGACACTGGGACACAAGTAAACAAAACAGATAGGCAGACCTCAGTCTATGAACTTATAAGACTCCTGGGGCTACCTTTTATTTTGTTTTACTTCATTTGGCTAAAATAGCAATTTAGGAAGAATTCCAGACTATTATACAAGAGTAGTGTTGTGACAGTTATTGCCTCTTTGTAAGCTTAGAAAATTATCTTAAACCAGCGGAGTGTGGTGGCTCAGGTCTATAATCCCAGCATTTTGGGAGGCCGAGGCGGGCAGATCACTTGAGATCATGAGTTTGAGACCAGCCTGGCCAACATGGTGAAACCCTGTCTCTACTAAAAATACAAAACTTAGCTGGGCATGGTAGTGCACACCTGTAATCCCAGCTACACGGGAGGCTGAGGCACAAGAATCACTTGAACCCAGGAGGCGGAGGTTACAGTGAGCCGAAATTGCAGCACTGCACTCCAGCCTGGGTGACAGAGTGAGATTCTGCCTAAAAAAAAGAAAAAGAAAAGAAAATTATCTTAAACCATTTCCTCAAAGTATTTTTTTCAGTCTCTTAAATCTACACATATTCAGGTGTACTCCTTCTTTGCCCATTTTCAAATTCTGTAGCATTATATGGAAGCAAAAGAGTTAATGATGGCAACACAGCTCCAGAAGACCCTTCCCCTGCCAAGAAAACTCACAGATGCCAGAGACAGGGGTCAAAAAAGATGCCTGTGGCTGGAGGAAAAGCTAATGACAGGACAGAAGACAAGCAAGATGGTAGGCAAGGGAGGTCATGGGCCAGCAAGAGGGTCTCTGATACGGGTGGATGAGGGGATGATATCTTGTTATGTCAGCTCTTATTTCTTCCTTCTTTCAGGATATAATTAATTTATCTATCCTTTGGGCATACCACAAAACTAATCTTCTGCTTTGAATCTTCGTTTTCATGTATTTGAAATGGACTGAGGCCTAAGGAAAGACCAGGATTGCTTGGGAGGGCAAAGTTAATCCTGACAAGTTTGTTTCACCACAACAGCTGTTTTTGATTCCCATAAAGTAGTACCTATATGTTTCTCCTCAGAATCTGTGAAGGCCTTGCTGTTAAAGGGCAAAGCTCCTGTGGACCCAGAGTGTACAGCCAAAGTGGGTAAGGTAAGAGACTCTGGAACTGATCGTCAGTCCATGGGTGTCTTGGAGAGCGTCCTTTGTGACAAGGACTCTTGTCTGGGATATTGTTAGTATCCGTTTGAGGAATCCTCTCCAAAATATGATGAGTGGTTAGTTTTCTCCAATGGCAAGGGGTAGGAATGGTAGGACTTGTGGTTAATAATCAGGGTGTTTTTTAACATGGTGTGTTAGACCATTCTTGCATTGCTGTAAAGAAATACCTGAGACTGGGTACTTTATAAGAAAACAGATTTAATTGGCTAATGGTTCTGGAGGCTGTACAGGAAGCACAGTGGTATCAGCTCCTTCGGGAGGCCTTAGGAAGCTTTTACTCATGGCAGAAGGTGAAGCAGAAATAGGCACTTCACATGGCGAAAGCAGTGGAGAGAGAGAGACTGGAGGAGGTGTCACATTGAGAGTGGAGGAAGTGTCACATGCTTTTAAACTACCAGATCTTGGATGAACTCACTCATTACCAAGAGGACAGCAGTAAAAGAGTGGTGCTAAACCATTCATGAGAAATCTATTTCCGTGATCCAATCACTTCCCACCAGGCCCCACCTCCAATACTGAGGATTACAGGTCATCATGAGATTTGGAAGGAAACAAATACACAAATTACATCACATGCTTACCTTTTGTGGTTGCCATCAGCCTTCTACACCTCGTTCTCTTTTTGAACCAGAAAATACTGTTAAGGGAAAACTGTTTTCTTGTTCTAATGAGAAACTGTACCCAATGGCATGAGTTACTGATGAATGAGGAAAGAATTTGAAATACAGAAAGTCTACCTCTACAGTGTTTTCTTTTCTTTTTCTTTTTTTTTTTTTTGAGACAGAATCTTACTCTGTCACCCAGGCTGGAGTGCAGTGGCTCGATTTCGGCTCAGTGTAACCTCCGCCTCCTGGGTTGAAGTGATTCTCCTGCCTCAGCCTCCCAAGTAGCTGTGACTACAGGCACATGCCACCATGCCCAGCTTATTTTTTATATTTAGTAGAGATGGGGTTTCACCGTGTTGGCCAGGCTGGACTCGAACTCCTGATCTCAGTTGATCCACCTGCCTCAGCCTTCCAAAGTACTGTGATTACAGGGGTAAGCCACTGCACCCAGCCAAGTTTTCTTTAACTCATTATTTTTTATTTTATTTTATTTTTTTTTTAAGATGGGAGTCTCACCCAGACTAGAGTGCAGTGGTGTGATCTCAGCTCACTGCAACCTCCACTTCCTGGGTTCAAGTGATTCTGCTGCCTCAGCCTCCTGAGTAGCTGGGATAACAGGCACCCACCACCACGCCTAGCCTGGGCTAATTTTTTTTTTCTTTTTTTTTTTTTTTTTTTTGAGACGGAGTTTCGCTCTTGTTACCCAGGCTGGAGTGCAATGGTGCGATCTCGGCTCACCGCGACCTCCGCCTCCTGGGTTCAGGCAATTCTCCTGCCTCAGCCTCCTGAGTAGCTGGGATTACAGGCACTTGCCACCATGCCCAGCTAATTTTTTGTATTTTTAGTAGAGACGGGGTTTCACTATGTTGACCGGGATGGTCTCAATCTCTTGACCTCGTGATCCACCCGCCTCGGCCTCCCAAAGTGCTGGGATTACAGGCTTGAGCCACTGCACCCGGCCTAATTTTTATATTTTTAGTAGAAACGGGTTTCACTGTGTTGGCCAAGCTAGTTTCAAACTCCTGACCCCAAGTGATCCACCTACCTCAGCCTCCCAAAATGCTGGGATTACAGGCATGAGACACCATGCCCAACCTAACTCAGTTAGATTCTTTTCTATAGTTAAAAAAAAAAAAAAGGAAGCATGTTTTCGTTATGGTAAGGTTATAGCCAGGTTATGGGTAGAACATTGGTTTGCAATTCTTTCCCTGGGAGATGGATGTTAATGTTCCTGTAGAATGACAACTTGAGCCGTAAGAAAATTTAGAGCCTCATTTAGGATCTCAGGGCTGAAACTAATGTTGATTTTTTTTTTCTTTCTCTTTTTCTAGGCTCATGTGTATTGTGAAGGAAATGATGTCTATGATGTCATGCTAAATCAGGTAAGAGGGAGAAGAGGCACAACCATTGTATTTTTGAGACCACCTTCTTGATAATTATTGATGATAGCATCATCAACCAGCGTTCAGATCTTTAAAGTCCTTTGTTTTCTAATTGTTATTTATTTATTTTCTTTCTGAGATGGAGTCCCACTCCATCTCCCAGGCTGGAGTACAGTGGCATAATCTTGGCTCACTGCACCCTCTGCCTCCCAGGTTCAAGCAATTCTCCTGCCTCAGCCTGCCGAGTAGCTGGGATTACAGACATGCACCACCATGCCTGGCTAAGTTTTTGTATTTTTAGTAGAGACAGGGTTTTGCCATTTTGGCCAGGCTGGTCTCGAATTCATGACCTCAAGTGATCCACCTGCCTCAGCCTCCCAAAGTGCTGGGATTACAGGCATGAGCCACCACACCTTGCCTAAAGTCCTATATTAAAATTTGCCATTAGTGGTTAAATACCTGGGTACTCAGCCCTGGCACCCTCTTACTGATAGCAAAGTCCTCTGTAAGAAATTTTTTTTTTTTTTTTTTTTTTTTTTTGCAGATTTCGTATCATTTATTGAAACTTAACTCTCTGTTCATATTCTTTTGTACTTTTTTTTTTTTTTTTAAGAGGCAGGATCTTGTTCTGTTACCCAGGCTGGAGTGCAGCTGGTGCAGTCAGCCCACTGCAACCTTGGGCTTCTGGGCTCCAGCAGTCTTCCCACCTCATCCTCCTGAGTAGCTAGGACTATAGGTGCATGCCACCAAGCCTAATTTTTTAATTTTTTGTGGAGATGGGAATCTCACTATATTGGATAGGTGGTCTTGTTATCTTTGGCCTCAAGTGATCCTCCTGCCTTGGACTTGTGAGGCACTGGAATTACAGGGATGAGCCTCTGGGTCAAAGCTGTTTTGCATATTTTCTAACAGGTTGTTGGTCATTTTCTTACTGGTTTCAAGGAACTTCATATGATACGGAGAATAGCCTTTTGTCTGTAACATAAATTGCTTATGTATTTTCCAGGTTTGTCATTTATCTTTTGATTTTCCTTATGGTACACTTTTTGCCAAGGCCCCTTTTTGTTCTAATATCTAATGACCTTTTTTTTTTTCCACCAGGGGACTAAGGTCATACAGTGGCTTTAAAATGTGACCAAGTAGGACAGGAGATAGAGGTAGGAAGGGACAGCAGGCTTAACAAAGAAGAATGCCTCCATATCCAGTGCTTGGCCATATAATACCAGCTGCTGTGCCTTATCATGGACTTGCGCTCTCTCTCTTCACTCTGAGTGATTTACTTACAGATAACTCTTTTTAGATACTCGCCATATTCTCAGTCGGGTTAGTTATAGAACAGATGTGGCCATGGTTTTGCATATCCCTTGTCCCCTCCCAGTATTGCCCAGCTCTCAGCTCATTGTCAAATTTCTGTAGCTGACAAACCAAAGTTGTGAGTAGAACTGTCAAAAAATAAGTCATGTAACAGTTAAACATAACAGTTTTAGACCTTTGGAACATCAAAATTGTTTTCATTTTAGAAATAATTATTGGGAGTAGATTGGGAACTGGAAAACACAGATAGCTTAGAAAATATCTCAATAGTGGCCAGGCAGGTGGCTCTTGCCTGTAATCCCAGGACTTTGGGAAGCCGAGGTGGGTGGATCATGAGGTCAGGAGATCAAGACCATCCTGGCCAACATGGTGAAACCCTGTCTCTAAAACAAAAATACAAAAATTAGCTGGGTGTGGTGGCACATGCCTGTAGTAGCAGCTACTTGGGAGGCTGAGGCTGAGGCAGGAGAATTGCTTGAACCTAGGAGGCGGAGGTTGCAGTGAGCCGAGATTGCGCCACTGCACTCCAGCCTGGCAACAGAGCGAGACTCCATCTCAAAAAAAAAAAAAAAAAAAAGAAAAGAAAAGAAAAGATCTAAATAGGGAGCTGAGGCAGGAAAAAACAGGAGGAGCCATTCAACGTAGGATATTTGAGGTTGGATAGAGGGTTTTAGGAAGCTTCTAGGCTCCCATTTTAATTTCTAAGAATCCAAAGTTTAATGTATAAGCCCTATTTCTTCTTTATATTTTTAATTTTACAGGAACATAATTTTCTTGCCTGATACAGGAATATAATTTTCTTTCCTTTTCCTTATGGAAATTACTGGCACCTGTCATGAAGGATAAATCATTGGTTTATGTGATTTCCATTTGCAAAACTTTTTTTTTTTCACTGCACATAGACTAATCTCCAGTTCAACAACAACAAGTACTATCTGATTCAGCTATTAGAAGATGATGCCGAGAAGAACTTCAGTGTTTGGATGAGATGGGGCCGAGGTAATTATTTTTATTGTGATTTTATGAGTTGGCATTCAGAAAGCCAGAAGCAGCTGAGTGAGTGGCCAAAGGCTACTTTGGGTTTAAATTGGGTTAGTAGAGGCTCTGAAGTCTAGAAGAGGCTTAGGAATCAAGTTGGGCATCTTGAAATTGGGGAATGGTGGGCATCCTCCTTAGGAAGTTGCCACTGGGAAAACTTAAGAGCAGCCCATTGAGGCTGAAAATTCTTCTGTAGTTGAACTGCTAGTAGTGCTCATAGACTGTGGCAGTTAGCAAGTAACTTGTATTAACATGATCAGTTCGTCCTTTCCTTTTTCTCCCTCTCCTGCCTGTTAGTCAGATGTTAAGCAGAGAGATCTTGGAGAGCTGGCTTGTTGCTATTAGGGAATATCTTTTTTTTCCTTTTTTTTTTTTTTTTTCTAGTATAGAAATACCTTTGTCCGGGCCGGGCGCGGTGGCTCAAGCCTATAATCCCAGCACTTTGGGAGGTCGAGGTGGGTGGATCACAAGGTCGAGAGATCGAGACCAACCTGGTCAACATGGTGAAACCCCGTCTCTACTAAAAATACAAAAAATTAGCTGGGCATGGTGGCGTGTGCCTATAATCCCAGCTACTCAGGAGGCTGAGGCAGGAGAATTGCCTGAACCCAGGAGGCGGAGGTTGCGGTGAGCCGAGATCGCGCCATTGCACTCCAGCCTGGGTAACAAGAGTGAAACTCCATCTCAAAAAAAAAAAAAAAAAGAAATACCTTTGTCCTTTGTAAGGAAATATCTTATGTGTGGCATTTACTTTGCTTTGCAGTTGGGAAAATGGGACAGCACAGCCTGGTGGCTTGTTCAGGCAATCTCAACAAGGCCAAGGAAATCTTTCAGAAGAAGTAAGTGTTAAAAAGTGACTACAGAAAAAAATACCCTCCTCTTCTTAAATGCTATTTTCTTCAAGAATTTTTTTTTTTTTTTTTTAGATGGAGTTTTGCTCTTGTTACCCAGGCTGGAGTGCAATGGTGTGATCTCAGCTCACTGCAACCTCTGCCTTCTGGGTTCAAGCAATTCTCCTGCCTCAGCCTCCCAAGTAGCTGGGATTACAGGCGCCAGCCACCATGCTCAGCTAATTTTTGTATTTTTAGTAGCCATGGGGTTTGGCCATTTTGGCCAGGCTGGTCTCAAACTCCTGATTTCAGGTGATCTACCTGCCCTGGCCTCCCAAAATGCTGGGATTACAGGTGTGAGCCACTGCACCCTGCCTTCTCTAAGAATTTTATAAATGTGGCTTATAAAAAAAATTTTCATTTTATAGGTGTGATTTGGCCTCGATATTAATGTCTTTTCATTCTGACATTCTGTGGTTGAAACACCAGACTGCATCCTTAGTGATTAAATCAAACTAGAACCTTGAAAGTCACTAAAAACAGAAGAATCTAATATATTTAACACATGACCAACAAATTGAGGAAATTTGGGATAAGTGAAGACTGTCATGGGGTAAAGAATATTCAGCTAGATTCTGGGTGCAGTGGCTCACGCCTATAATCCCAGCACTTTGGGAGGCTGAGGTGGGATGATTGCTTGAAGCTAGGAGTTTGAGACCGGCCTGGGCAACAAAGTGACACCACTGACTCTACAAAAAAAAAAAAAGAGAGAGAATATTCAGCTAGAGTTCTTAAAACCTTATGATACAGATGAAGAACTTTTGGAGAATTTGGGAACATGTTTCTTTCAGGGAAAGGGATTAGATGGATACTTAAAATCTCAGTGGCTTTTGTGGTGTTTGGGAAGGACAAGCATTGTTTTTCCCTGTTTTTAAAATTCCATTTGTTTCCAGAGCTTTTTTGTCCATTTAATGTCCTCATTTAGAATTAGACTGATTTTGATTTATGGAAAGTTGTTGGGTAAAGGAGATCGGTGGTGGAAAATAAATCGTTGGGAGATTTTCTAAGGAAACAGTTGTAAGTCCATCTTCATAGTAGACCTTTATTTGTAAAGTTTTCTTACATATTGGACTCTACAGATTCCTTGACAAAACAAAAAACAATTGGGAAGATCGAGAAAAGTTTGAGAAGGTGCCTGGAAAATATGATATGCTACAGATGGACTATGCCACCAATACTCAGGTAACTCTCACTATACTTTTGGGAGGAAACCCGTTTCTTCATTTTGTTTATTCTTTAGAGACAAGATTGTGCTCTCTTGCCCAGGCTGCAGTGCAGTAGCACAATCATAGCCCATTGTAGCCTCAAGATCTCTAGGCTGAAGTGATCTTCCCACCTCAGCCTCCCATCATCAGGGACTACAGGCACATGCCACTCTGCCCAGATGATTTTTCTTTCTTCTTTTTTTTTGGAAAGATGAGGTTTCACTATGTTGCCCAGGCTGGTCTGAAATTCCTGGGCTCAAGCAGTCCTCCTGTCTTGGTCTCCCAAAGTCCTGAGATTATAGGCATGAGCCACAACACCTACTCCTGTTTCTTCTTAATCAGGGCAAAGCAGAATGGCTTAGATCATTCCTAGACTGGGACAGGTCACAGTATCTTGAGTTCTTTCTACTTCATACCAGGGGTACGGGTGCTCTCAATGATCTTTGTAATCCCAAAGGGACAATATATATATATATTTTTTTAAGTAAGTACAGGATTTCACCATATTGGCCAAGATGGTCTTGAACTCCTGAGCTTGGGTGATTGCCTGCCTCAGCCTCCGAAAGTGCTGGGATTACAGGCATGAGCCACCTCGCCCAGCCTTCTAAGGTTGTTATAAAATATTAGACCCTATTTATAGAAGTTTATTGTTATGGACCAAGAGATGAGCAATAAAAAAATCAAAGTGATTAAACAATTACATTTAAATTTGTTTTCAATTCTGGATATATACCACCATTTAAAAAAAAATTAATTTAGATAAACTGAGGTATACCAGAATGCTGAAACTGTTCTGAAACAGTCACATACCCCAAAAAATGGAGAAGTTTGTCTTTTTAAGATGGGAAGATCTGAGACATAATAACTATTTATTTTTACACACTGACATCATGAGGAAGGCCTTTTTTTTTTTTTTTTTTTTTTTTTAAGACTTATTCTGAGTTGTACCGTGTAGGAGGCAGAACTAGCATGGTCAACCCTCCATATCCATGGATTCAGTTAACTGAGGATCAAAAATATTCTAAAAAAGAAATTGCTTCTGTACTGAACCTGGACAGCCTTTTTTCCTTGCTTGTCATTATTCCCTAGACAATGCAGTATAAAAACTTTACAAAGCATTTACGTTATGTGGTATTGGGTGTTATAAGTAATCTAGAGATGATTTCTTAGATTTTCTTTTGTTTGTTTTTTGCTATAGGATGAAGAGGAAACAAAAAAAGAGGAATCTCTTAAATCTCCCTTGAAGCCAGAGTCACAGCTAGATCTTCGGGTACAAGAGTTAATAAAGTTGATCTGTAATGTTCAAGCCATGGAAGAGATGATGATAGAAATGAAGTATAATACCAAGAAAGCCCCACTTGGTAGGACTTCACATTTTGTTCTGCATTCTCTCCTCATAATTCCTAGTTCCTTTAATGGATATGTTATTACATTATGATTTATTGCTGATAGTACTGAGTGAAGAAAATGGGATTTGGTGTGACAGGTTGTATGGAGGGAGAAGGAACTATTTTGAAAGTTGAGGCTGGGTGTGGTGGCTCATGCCTATACTCCCAACACTTTGGGAGGCCAAGGCAGGTGGATTGCTTGAACCCAGAAGTTTGAAACCAGCCTAGGCAACATGGCAAGATCCCATCTCTACTAAAAATTGAAAAATTAGCTAGGCGTGGTGGTGTGTGCCTGTGGTCCAGCTATTGGGAGGCTGAGGTGGGAGGATCACCTGAGCCTGGGAAGTTGAGGCTACATTTAGCTGTGTTTGTGCCACTGCACTCAGACTGGGCAATAGGAGTGAGACTCCATCTCAAAAGAAAAAAGAAATTGAAAGGTGAAAGTCGTTTTTAGGCAAAGACGTAACTACAGTTTACAAAATGGGACCCTGGTTTGGAGTCTGATTTCTGGCTGGGCCTAGCAGGGAAGCTGACAGTGGCGCAAATCAAGGCAGGTTACCAATCTCTTAAGAAGATTGAGGATTGTATTCGGGCTGGCCAGCATGGGCGAGCTCTCGTGGAAGCATGCAATGAATTCTACACCAGGATTCCGCATGACTTTGGGTAAGGCCCGTGCTGTTACTTCACTTTGTTCTTCTACGTATATATATCCCCTGTATCAATCAGCAGCAACTATAATCTTTTAAATATTTTATTCCTAAGGAAATGATCGTCTTGAATAGGGACAGAAACAAAATTGTATGTGGGCAGCCTATTTAATCGGCTTACAAATATAGGATGGTCTCCTGGCTTGACCACAGCTGTATTCTCTGACAAAGGAGAAGTTACCAACTCAGGAGGGAATGGTTCTACTATCCAACCACCAAGTAAAACACCTTCAGGCATTATCACCCCCTTTTCCTATTTGAGGTGGCAAACCACACAAACACCATTTCTGTGAACGCAAGTGATATTAGATAGACAAAGTAACATTTTACATTGGTTGATTATGGTTTCTGGTTTTCATCCTATTTCTATTCCTTTTACTGCTTTCTAGAGCCCTGTGACCTAGAAATAACCCTGAGTGGTCAACAGGTCTGCCTATGCTTCTAGATAGAACTATATCCAAACTGTTCCTTATTGTTATCCATGTAACTTATTTTTAAAATGATTTTATAAAAAAGAATTTCAACTCTAGTCTCAAAAGTCAAAATGCACATAGTTCATCTTTACTGAATATGTATTTAAGATTATTTTATATATTTGGAACTTAAGATCTTTTTACAGATCTTTCTCTCTCAAATGGAAAACCTGTTGAGAGGACCTATCTATCATCTTCTATGTTTAGTCATGGGCCTTTTAGCTACACATCAGAGAGCTCATTATGGTTTATATCTCTGTTCTTAGACTCCGTACTCCTCCACTAATCCAGACACAGAAGGAGCTGTCAGAAAAAATACAATTACTAGAGGTGAGATATGTATGAATTGAGAAGTATTATATCCCTTATCCCAAATTCCTCCCACACTGATTCTGTATCTCATCTTCTCAGGCTTTGGGAGACATTGAAATTGCTATTAAGCTGGTGAAAACAGAGCTACAAAGCCCAGAACACCCATTGGATCAACACTATAGAAACCTACATTGTGCCTTGCGCCCTCTTGACCATGAAAGTTATGAGTTCAAAGTAAGAAAAATGATTATTTTCAGACTAGGAGTTTGAGAAGGCCAGGTTCTTCCTAGCTGCCTTGTAAGACTTTGGGAGCAGAAAGTTCTGCCAAGTTATATCAGAATCCCCCAATTTTTCAGTTCAGCTGAGTCTCTTGTAGCATACACACTGGCCTTGTCGTCTTATTTTTCACAGGTGATTTCCCAGTACTTACAATCTACCCATGCTCCCACACACAGTGACTATACCATGACCTTGCTGGATTTATTTGAAGTGGAGAAGAAGGGTGAGAAAGAAGCCTTCAGAGAGGACCTTCATAACAGGTCTGAGTCTAGCTTTGGCTTTGGAAAGACACTCCTTGCCCAAAAAGTACAGCTATAAAACTTATAAAAAGGAGGCAGAGGAAGGTGTTGGCTTTTTATGCTTATGGCCTATCTGTGCAAAACAACAGAGTACAATAATATTGACTTTTCCATAGGATGCTTCTATGGCACGGTTCCAGGCTGAGTAACTGGGTGGGAATCTTGAGCCATGGGCTTCGAATTGCCCCATCCTGAAGCTCCCATCACAGGTTACATGGTGAGTGAAATTGAACTCTGGGAGGAACACAGGGGAAAGGGATACAGTAATGTTCAGTGGCTTTTTTTTCGAGATTATGATTAGGTGGTTCTCCTCCCCAACAGTTAAGCCAGCTCACTGATAACCAGGTCATGTCTCACTATGTCCTTCTTTCTTTAAATTCCTAAAGATACCTCGCCTTTCCCTCAGAAGGCAGAAATTCACAGGTGCTTCTACCCTCTCTAGGACAGAATTGTGAGGGAAATGGAGAAGGGTCTATATTGGTGTTTAAGGAAATGGAAAAACAGGGTTGGTGCTATATACCTTCTCTCTAACACAGTGGCTTAGAAGCTGACCTTGGTATTCATTTATATATTTCAGTTTGGAAAAGGAATCTATTTTGCTGACATGTCTTCCAAGAGTGCCAATTACTGCTTTGCGTCTCGCCTAAAGAATACAGGACTGCTGCTCTTATCAGAGGTGAGGCAGGAGTATGTCTGAGCTCTAGTTTATTAATTCCCACTTCTTTCCAGTGAGAAAAGTATTGAACCCAGAACCAAGAGGTTTACCTGGGATAACTTGAGAGAGAGCCAAGTGCAATTTTTAGTACATTGGATTCCTCTGTTGGAGTAGGGGAAAAAAAGTACTGATGGGATTTTCTGTTTGACTGTGGAGCCATCTAATTCTTAGTAGGATATGGGCATTCAAAGATTTTTTGCTTTGCAGGTAGCTCTAGGTCAGTGTAATGAACTACTAGAGGCCAATCCTAAGGCCGAAGGATTGCTTCAAGGTAAACACAGCACCAAGGGGCTGGGCAAGATGGCTCCCAGTCCTGCCCACTTTGTCACCCTGTAAGTACTCAGAACCAGGAGGGCTAGAAGACTCCTTTTGGCCACATAAGACTACTTTCTCTATTCCAGCTTCTGAACCAGAGACTGATGTTGACATACTTTTCTTCCGTTTGGCAGGAATGGGAGTACAGTACCCTTAGGACCAGCAAGTGACACAGGAATTTTGAATCCAGATGGTTATACCCTCAACTACAATGAATATATTGTCTATAACCCCAACCAGGTCCGTATGCGGTACCTTTTAAAGGTTCAGTTTAATTTCCTGCAGCTATGCTGAATGTTGATATTAAATAAACCAGAGATCTGATCTTCAAGCAAGAAAATAAGCAGTGTTGTACTTTTGAATTTTGTGATACTTTATATAATAAAAACTGTACAACTCTGGCCGGGCGCGGTGGCTCAAGCCTGTAATCCCAGCACTTTGGGAGGCCGAGGCGGGTGGATCACGAGGTCGACAGATCGAGACCATCATGGTCAACGTGGTGAAACCCCGTCTCTACTAAAATACACAAAAAAATTAGCTGGGCGTGGTGGCACGTGCCTGTAATCCCAGCTACTCAGGAGGCTGAGGCAGGAGAATTGCTTGAACCCAGGAGGCGGAGGTTGCGGTGAGCCAAGATCACGCCATTGCACTCCAGCCTGGGTAACAAGAGCGAAACTCTGTCTCAAAAAAAAAAACTGTACAACTCTACCACTGGCTTCTTTGGGCTTTATTTCTCCAAGTACTTATTTCTTCTGATATTAGTAGATTTTCATTTCCAGGACAGAAAGTACTCACTGCTCTGCAAGTTATTCAGTAGTCTTGTTCTTAGTGGCATCTGTGCATTGAGAGATACTAATGGGTGGGGCTAATGCTTTTACCAGTTTAATTCAATTTTTCTGCAAACTGGAATTTGTTTAGTATTATTGCAGGAAGGGTAGAGGCAACAAAGGCTAAGTTATCTTTTTCTTTCCCATCCATACATAGTCACTTGCCTTTTTCAGATGTATCACTGCAGCCTGGGTCTCCAACTATTTAACATCTTAGTATTTACCACATGTCCAAAAATTGGGAAGCCTTTGGAAGACTGTCACAAAGCCACAATACATGTAACTTTTTAGAAACCAGATTTTGAATATCTATCAAAATTTGAAATGTACATGCCCTCTGACCTAAAACTTATATGTTTGCATAGATGTCACTGAGGCATTGGTGTACACAAAAAGATCCATAGATAAGGAACTAGTCAAATATGTGTACTCATTGAAGTAACATGCTATTAAAACTGAAGCAGACGACGTAATTTTCCAAAGAATAGAAGAGAGGGAAATACTTTGCAACTAATTGCAAAAGGCAGTATGAAATCAAAACCAGATAAAGATATCACAAGAAAGTAAAACTATAGACCAATATCTTTCTATCTTCTCCTTCCTCAGCTTCCTGAGTAGTTGGGATTACAGGTGTGCACCACCACACCCAGATAATTTTTTGTATCTTTAGTAGAGATGGGGTTTCACCATGTTAGCCAGATTGGTCTGGAACTCCTGACCTTGTCATCCACCCACCTTGGCCCCCCAAAGTGTTGGGATTACAGGCGTGAGCCACCACTGTCAGGCTCTAAGTATATATTTTTATCCTATGTAAACATTGGCTATAAAAAGGTATTGAAGTATAAGTATAATGAAGTTTTGGTATTAAATTCAAGAGGCTCCTAAAGAAAAAAAATACTCATGCATTTATGCTGATACAAGTAAATAATTGAATACATAAATTGGTAGGAAAGGATAAAATTCCCTTCAGAATTTCAGACTAGGTGTAGTGGCTCACACCTGTCATCCCGACACTGAAAGGCCAAGGTGGGAGGATCGCTTGAGGCTAGAAGTTCAAGATCAGCCTGGACAACATAGTGAGACCTCATCTTTACAAATATAAAAGCCAGGCGTGGTGAGGCATGCCTGTAGTCCCAGCTACTTGGAAGGCTGGGGCAGGAGGATCGCTTGAACCCAGGAGTATGAGTGCAATAAGCTATGATCAATGTCTCTGCACTTCAGCCTGGGTCACAGCACAAGACCCAGTCTTAAAAAAATAAAAAGAATTTCAATAAATAAATGTCAGTCAAAGGTAAACAAAATAATTAGGGAAAATGGAGAGGAATAGACAATCATGATTAGAAAACCACAATAATAATATTGCAGTCAAGATCCATCGATGAATGCTAAGATTAGTCAGGAAAATGATACTTGCATAGCCTCAAAAAACCTACCTTAAGATATATAAATTTATTTGATACCTCTCTCTTCTAGAGGTTTTCTTTCCTTTCCCTTGAGTATGGGCTGGACCTAGTGACTTGCTTCTAACAGAATATGAAAAAGGTACAGCCAAAAATACCTGGCAAATACCACTTTAAAAGCTGATCAGGGTTAACACCAGTTATAAGTTTTGTTAATACCGTATGTACCCAGCCGGGCGCGGTGGCTCAAGCCTGTAATCCCAGCACTTTGGGAGGCCGAGGCGGGTGGATCACGAGGTCGAGAGATCGAGACCATCCTGGTCAACATGGTGAAACCCCGTCTCTACTAAAAGTGCAAAAAATTAGCTGGGCATGGTGGCACGTGCCTGTAATCCCAGCTACTCAGGAGGCTGAGGCAGGAGAATTGCCTGAACCCAGGAGGCGGAGGTTGCGGTGAGCCGAGATCGCGCCATTGCACTCCAGCCTGGGTAACAAGGGCGAAACTCCGTCTCAAAAAAAAAAAAAAAAAAATACCGTATGTACCCAATAAAGATGCAATAAAGTACATCATCTCTTGAATTCTTCCTTTAAATCCATAATCTCAGCCTATTCATGAAAAAAAGAAAAAGAAAATAAAACCAAACTGAAGAACACTCTACAATATTCTTCACTCTTGTTGCCCAGGCTGGAGTGCAGTGGTTCGATACTCGGGAGTCTGAGACAGGAGGATCACTGAGCCCTAGAGGTAGAGGTTTTGGTGAGCTGTTATTGTACCACCACATACCAGCTTGGGCAACAGACAGACCCTGCCTCAAAAAATAAATAAATTTTTAAGTGTCAAGATTGGCTGGGTGCAGTGGCTTATGCCTCTAATCTCAGCACTTTGGGAGGCCGAGGCGGGCAGATCAAGAGGTCAGGAGCTCAAGACCATCCTGACCAACATTGTGAAACTCCATCTCTACTACAAATACAAAAATTAGCCAGGCATGGTGGTGTGCACCTGTAGTCCCAGCTACTCAGGAGGCTTGAGACAGGAGAATTGCTTGAGATCACACCACTGCACTCCAGTCTGAGAGACAGAGTGAGACTCTGTCTCAAAAAATATTTTGCCTTTTGCTCTCCTAAAAGCATGGGCCAAGGGCAGGAGGAAGTCTGTCTTCCATGCTCTGAAAATTCTACAAAACCACCCCAGCTAAGACTGGAATAATGAGGAGGAAAGTTAAGCAAAGGCTAGGTTGCTCAATAGATTGTTCCATGTGATTGAATTTTAGGAATATAAGAAGGTTCTTTTATGGCCCAGGCATGGTGGCTCATCACCTATAATCCCAGCACTTTGAGAGGCTGAGGTGGGTGGATCGCTTGAGGTCAGGAGTTCGAGACCCACCTAACCAACGTGGTGAATCCCGTCTCTACTAAAATACAAAGATTAGCTGGGCATGTTAGCAGGTGCCTATAATCCCTGCTACTCCGGAGGCTGAGGCAGCAGAATTACCTAAACTCAGGAGGTGGAGGTTGCCCTGAGCCAAGATCACAACACGACTCCAGCTTGGGAGACAGAGCCAGACTTCATCTCAAAAAACAAAAAATAATAGTAAGTTTTTTTATTAAGAAAATCAGGCCAGGTGCAGTGGCTCACACCTATAATCCCAGCACTTTGGGAGGCTGAGGCAGGCGGATCACCTGAGGTCAGGAGTTAGAGTTTGAGACTAGCCTGACCAACATGGAGAAACCCCATCTCTAAAGGAAAAAAAAAGAAAATCAGAGTTCATGGCTATGATTGTGCCACCTCTCAATTAGTTTTAGTTTTAATCTTTGTGTATTTCAATTTGAGAGAGAAAGACACTTTTGTGATCTCTTCTGAGAATGCCAATTACTATACTGACTAAAGTTTGAAAGTCAAGTGTCAAAAGTTGGGAAAACCAGGTTTGTTCTACTTTCTTTTTTTTTTTTTTTTTTTTTTTTTTTTTTTTTTTTTTTTTTGAGACGGAGTTTCACTCTTGTTACCCAGGCTGGAGTGCAATGGCGCGATCTCGGCTCACCGCAACCTCCGCCTCCTGGGTTCAGGCAATTCTCCCATCTCAGCCTCCTGAGTAGCTGGGATTACAGGCACACGCCACCATGCCCAGCTAATTTTTTGTATTTTTAGTAGAGACGGGGTTTCACAATGTTGACCAGGATGGTCTCGATCTCTCGACCTCGTGATCCACCCGCCTCGGCCTCCCAAAGTGCTGGGATTACAGGCTTGAGCCACCGCGCCCGGCTGTTCTACTTTCAATGGCTTGACTCCTCACCTCTCATCTGGGTAGTTCTGAAAAAAGGGCTGTTTCTGAGAGGAATGTAATGTAATGTTATCCTAACTCTATTCCAGTTCTAAATGCCCTGATGCATGACTGACTGATTCTCCCTCCTTCATTCTTTCCCGATGAACCACTCTGTTCAAACTGAATGTTGGCCGACACTGCTCTCATTCTTCCTCCTGGCAAGAATGGCACCCTAGGGTCCTAGGGTCCACAAGTAACGCAAGAATTCTAAACCTAGTTTCAAAGAGTACCTACTTAAGATTTCATTCACTTTCTTGTCGTTCTAGTAACGATTAATGTTAAATTAGAAAAGACACACATTAGAATATCCATATACTTCCCTCCTGTTCTGAATCCACGTGAGAATACAGGCAGGTCTACACTTGAGATGTTTTGACACTTTATTTATTTATTTATTTTTATTTTATTTTATTTTATTTTGAGATGGAGTTTTGCTCTTGTTACCCAGGCTGGAGTGCAATGGCACGATCTCGGCTCACCGCAACCTCCGCCTCCTGGGTTCAGGCAATTCTCCTGCTTCAGCCTCCTGAGTAGCTGGGATTACAGGCACGTGCCACCATGCCCAGCTAATTTTTTTGTATTTTTAGTAGAGACGGGATTTCACCATGTTGACCAGGATGGTCTCGATCTCTTGACCTCGTGATCCACCCGCCTCGGCCTCCCAAAGTGCTGGGATTACAGGCTTGAGCCACCGCAGCCCGGCCACACTTTATAATTATTAAGAAATTATTAATTTTATAATTATTAAAAGCCATCAGTGTCTTCGGGCTTTGCATCTCTAGCACAAGGGGTATCATCCTTCCCCTGAGTAGCACATCTTCATTCCCAGGACAGAAAGTACACATTGCCCTG